ATGGAAGTACGGGTTAGATAAATTGATTGTAAAGTGGATAGAAAACTGGCTGGATTATTGGGCTCAGTGGTTAGTAATCAAAGACTCGATGTCTAGTTGGCAACCAGTATCAAGTGGAGTGCCCCAGGGGTTGGTTCTGGGGCTGGTTTTGTTCAGTATTCTCATCAGCACCTTGAAGATGGGATGGAGTGCACCCTCAGCAAGTTCATGGATGATACCAAGCTGTGAGGAGTAGTAGATCCACTAGAGGGTAGGGCCAGGATTCAGGGTGACCTTGAAAATTGGATGATTGGAGGAAAAGAAATCTCGGGTTCAATAAGGACAATGGGGGTGTGCAAAACAGGCCATATTTGATTTGGGTTCAGCCCAAATCGGGGGACAGTGATTCGATTTGTTGATTTGGATCACAGTCTCAATTTGATTCGGCTGAATCCAAATCTAAAGATTCGATGCTGATGTGGAGAATCAGTGATTCAGCCATAGACACAGCTTTATATATTTTTTCTACATACCTTGAGGTACCAGGCATGGCTTGTGAATGCTGTAGTGGTGGGGCAGATGGAACATCCCACAGGAGTACAGAGGGGCCCCCCATGTGCTTGGTGGCAGATCCAGAAGTGGGCCGGAAGTACTTCCGATCCACCTCTGGGTCCACTGCCAAGCGTGTGGGGGTCCCTCCACATCCCCATGGCTTGGCAATCAGCCATGGGGGGGACCCCTGGTGCCCCCCCCAGACCCAGAAGGCACCAGTCACTGAGCCAGGGGGGCAGGACAGCGTCCTTCATGTGCTCTACGGCAGACCTGGAAATGGACTGGAAGTGCTTCTAGTCCACTTTTGGGTCTTCCCCCGAGCACGCTGGGGGCCCCTCTGCACTCCTGTGGGACGCTCCCTCCACTCCAGCATCTCAGAATTCATGAGCCACCTGGTACCTTGAGGTATGTAGAAAAAATATTTAAAGCTCTGTCTATGTCTAAACCATTGAATTTCTCTGAATCACTCCAAATCAATTCAATTCAGAAAGATTAAAATGTCTCCTGATTTGATTCGGATTTGGAGATTCAGCTGCCAAATCAGGCCAAATCTCTGCCAAATCAAATCGACTGAAGCTTTGCACAGCCCTAAAGGACAAGGGCTAGGTCTTGCACTTAGGACAGAAAAATCCCGTGCACCGGCAGAGGCTGGGGACCAACTGGCTAAGCAGCAGCTCTGCAGGAAAGAACATGGGGGTTACAGTGGGCAGCTGAACATGAGCCAACAGCGTGCCTTTGTTGCAAAGAAGGCTAATGGCATACTGGGCTGCATTAGTAGGAGCACTGCCAGCAGATCAAGGGAAATGATTATTCCCCTGTATTCAACACTGGTTAGGCCACATCTGGAGTACTGTGGGCGAGTCTACACATAATGCTATGTTACTGTAATGACATGCTACAGTGGCATAGTGTCCATGGGTGTCTACATGTGATCAGCAGCTACTTCACTGTAGTGGACTGCTAACCCATTATAACATGCTACTATGGCAAAGTAGCTGCTAAAAATAACCATGCACAGTGCATATAGTGCACTATGGGCAGTTACTGCGCCATGTTTTAGTACTTCCTAAAGAAAGTACTAAAGCACAGTGTAGGACCAATGTTGCCATAGGGCAATGTGTAGATGCATCCTGTGTCTAGTTTTGGGCCCTCCACTGTAGAAGGATGTAGACAAACTGGAAAGAATCCAATGGAGGGCAACAAAAATTGTTAGGGGCCTGGGGTACATCACTTGTGAGGAGAGGCTGAGAGAATTGGGCCTATTTAGTATCAAAAAGAAAAGACTGAGATGGGATTTAATAGCAGTCTTCAACTATCTGAAGGGTGGTTCCAGAGAAGATGGAGCTAGATTGTTCTTAGCAGTGGCAGATGACATAACATGGAGCAATGGTCTCAAGTTTCCGCAAGGGAAATTTAGGTTAGATATTAGGAAAAACTTTCTCACTAGGAAGGTAGAAAAGCACTGGAATGGGTTACCCAGAGTGGTTATAGAATCTCCATCACTGGAGGTGTTTAAGACCCAGCTAGGCAAAGCCATGGCTGGGATGATATAGTTAGGGATGGTCCTGCTTTGACCAGGGGACTAGAGGACCTCCTGAGATTCCTCCCAACCCTCATTTTCTATGATTCTCTGTGTATATGGAAAAAGCTAGAAAATGTTCAAATTGGAAGATTTTTTAGAAATACATGGAAACAGTTTGGCTCAAGGGTTTGCTTTTTAATACCAGCTAACCTATAGATATAATAATATTTTCCATTCTGACTCAGCTCTGTCTACATATTTTGTCTGCACAAATCATTTACTTATTGCTGCTTGCTAGATATGTTTTTAGGATTGTGTTCTGTAGGTATTTGTATATATTTATTGCTTGTTTAGATTATTCTATCTTGGCATCTTCAGAAATGTATTTTGCATATTGTTTCATGTTACACAGTTTTCATTGTCCCCATTCTGTTGTTTCAATTAGCTAATAATTTTTTGTCATCACAACCGCCATTTAGTTTGTTTCACAAGGATATGGTGATCACCTTGATCAATTTACATTCTCTAAGATAGTTTCAGTTTTACACCTTAATCAACCAATTATTTGAGTGGTTCTATATTTCAGACCTTTTCTTTTTGGGATGAGAATAGTCTTCAGAAATAGTTACAGTGCTGCAGTTTTTAAATTTCCATCTTTTTTTTCTCTTAGGCAGTGTGCATTACAATTTTCTCTTAGGCAGTAACAATTGATTATTATTGTTATTCAATAACAGTAATGCAGGTCTATGGCAGAACACTGACTGCAGACAGAAGTGCAGCTTCCTGCTGTAACTGAGAACACTTTGCAGGAAGTGTTCTGAATTGCAACAATTCCCTGAAACGAACAGAAGTTCACTGTTGGTTGCAGGGTGGGTGGGAGGGAGTCTGCCTGGGAGTCTGCAGCTGCTTTCCCCTAGCAACAGCCCCTCCTCCCTGTGAGGCTGCAAAGTTTTCAGAATAGGAGTGGGGAAAGGGAGCAGAGGAAATTCATTCTAGGGGTTTACCAGCCAGTAAAGTGAGTGAGTGAGTGAGTGAATTGGAGCACTCCCACCTCAGCGGGGCTCCAATACACTGGCCCCACCCTCCAGCGGCAGCTAAAAAACACCCAGACCAAAATCCCTCTGCTCCCTTTCCTCTCTCCCATTCTGAAAACAGTGACATGCTGGCAGGCAAGCAGATGATTACAAAAGATGCTGTTTTGCAATGTGTTTATTTGACTCCTCATGCAATGAGGATTCAGCTAGCCTGTTTGCTACTATGCACTAGGGTCGGAAACAACCCATGTACCTCAGGGTATTGTGGATATTGTACAGTCATTTAGTAAAGCAAATGCTAAATGACTGCGCAGTAACAACTGTGTAGTCTGGTGAACACATAGATGCACCCAGTTACTCATAAGTGTAGTTCTGTTGAATTTGATGAGAATATTATAAATAGGGGGCTTACAATCTGGATCTGATTTTTATCTTGAAATTAAAATGCTTGTGTGTGTTGTTTTATTAATTCTTAAGAATTTCTATAGTATTGCTATAGATCATTGATAGCTATACTCCAGAAAGTTAAGATTCTAAGCACAAAGCTGAACCCCAAACTCTATCACAACGTTCTGATATATTTGTTGAGATATAATGTACTGCTACTGTGTATAAATTTTGGCCTTGATTCCAAATTCAGGAGATAGCAGAGTTAGAAGAATGTCTTACATTTTCCAAGATGGCTGCTGATAACTTTTACATGCTTCATCTTTGGGCTTTGCAGACTAACATTGTGAAATGACTCTGCCAAATCTGCTGTATTCAGATTCAGGTTGAATTTGACATGTTTAAACATGTCTTATTCAGAATGGCCTAGAACTGTTACTTGACTGTTCATCTAGTTGTATTATATAAGATAATATCTTGAAGAAATCATACTATATTATATTTTCTCCCAGATAGTATGCAGAGAGGAGTTGAGTTGCTATTTCTTTCTCCCCTAATTTCTTTCTCCAAACTAATTGTGTTGATTATAAAAAGGGAATATAACAATTATATTAATCTTAACTATGTAATCTGTTGACTAAGAGAAAAATACATTTGCTAATAAAAATATAAATTTTTGTAATAAATTAGCATTATTTATTTCATACTCAAACTTTGCAAACTAAAGCAGTTATTTAATATTCTTTGATTTATTATTTTCATAAGGAAATTATGAGATCTCTACAACATATGCAGCAGCTGCTCCAGCGACTGGCCCAAACAAATGGCAGATTGGAAAGTGAATTGAATGCACTGAAGGCAAACTATAAGGTCAGATTATTCTTGATTATAAAATCTGCTAGTAGCTGCTCTATTTGTGGAGTTTAGGACTGTTAAAGACATCTGCATGCTTTTCAGAACTTTTGACCTCTTTTTCACTGCTCCCTCAGCTCCTTAACTGTCAGCGTAAACCTTGAAACACACCCCATGGTTCTCCTGTCCTGAACCCCTGCAAAGAAAAAAGATTGCTGGCTCCTTTCTGTCATGTATAACAAAAACATAATTTTGGTTTCCATCACAAATGTTGGTATAATTAAATTATTTTATTTTTGTTTTTAGATTTGTGTTAATTATTTAGTTTTGTGGAAACTTCTTGTTATTGAAAGGTACTAGAAAAATCCAGTTGAGACTGTAGGGACCCAATCCCATCCTCTGTTTTGCCAAAAGGAAACAAATGTCCAGCATAACGGTATCCCTAGCATAATGCCATCTCTCTTCTGCTGCCTTTATCTAGGATTCATGTCCAGAGTGGTAAAAGAGCCAGGTCAGAGTATGTCAGCTGTAACTTTTCTCAGCCAACCTAATTAGACGAGCTTTGAAATTCTGTTTCACGGGAAATCAAACTGGCGTGTGGTACCACTGGGAGTTGGAGGAATGCAAATATGATTTCACCAACTTTGTTTTACCCCACTATTTCTTTAAAAATGCCAGGCACAAACCTGGTGTAGCTAAAGATGTGTTCCAAAGTTCCTGTATGTACACACAACAGTATAGGGCAAATAGCAGTAGTGTTGTCCCACAGAAGTGCACCCCACAATGACCTTAAAAGAACATCTATAAGGCTGAAGGTATAATTTTAGCTCTTTTTAGTCCTTTGATTATTTATTAAGAAACTAAATAGGTTTAGTGTTAAAATTGATGTAAGGTGGATACATACCTGCTTGCATCATCATGCTTCAATAGCTGGCTTGATGTCTAACTATGCTTGATAATAATGGCTTGAAATAATGGTTTGATGTCTAACTAGGAAGCATTATCAAGTGAGTTTCCCCAGGGATCTGTGCTGGGCCTGGTGCTGTTTAACACCTTTAATGATTTGGAGGATGAGATTAAGTGTACATTTCACAAATGTCCAGATGACATCAAGCTGGGTGAAGTTACAGACCAGGGTTGTCAACCCAAGGAAAAAAAATTACTGACAATCCGCAAACTTTTTACTGACAACCAAGCTTTTACTGATGCATGTTTTTACTGATATATGTTTTACATAATGTAAATGTCACTCTTCTGCCAGGCCCTGCCCTGCTGCAGGACATCAGTTAGAAGGTCTGGGTTTAAATTTAGGGGCTTATTATTAAGCATAGTAAAAAAATAGAAGTTTGGTTGTCAGTCATAAGTTTGCAGTAAAATATATTGTTGGGTTGGCAACCCTGTTTGACTGCAGCGATGGTTGTACACTGTGTTGTCCCCATCTGCCAGGAGCTCCTATTTACCCCTATGTCCTGATGTCCCCGACTGCAGCCTGGACCATGCTGCCTTTCCCCCCTACTGACCCCACTTCCCCTCTCCTGGCATAGATCCCCAAAGATGCCTCCTTGTGACTTAGCAGTATTACAGGCAGCCTGGGCAGCAGCAGCAGCAGCAGCACATGACTGAGAGAATACTCCTTGCAGGGTGCTGCACTGTTATTTGGACACCAGGTGGCAATGCTGTACTGTGTCTGCATGAGCTTCAAACAAAGTGCAGCTACTTAGTGTTTTAGTGGTAGCTAACGGTTTGTTTGTTTTTTTTGCAGACTTTACTGACAGCCATTTTTAGCCTGATTTTTTTTTTTTACTGACATTCAGTAAATTTACTGTTAGTTGGCAAAACAGCTGTAGAGACTCTGGAGGACAGGATTAGGATTCAGAATGACCTTGATAAACTGGAGAAATGGTCCAAAATTAATCAAATGAAATTCAATAAAACAAGTATGATGTCCTGCACTTGGAGTGGAACAATCACATACACAAATACAGATTGGAGAATGACTGATTAGGCTGTTGTACTGCAAAAAAGGACCTCGCTGTTATAGTGGACCATAAGATGAATATGATCCAGCAGAATGCTCTTGTTGCAAAGAAAAACCTAATAGGATTCTGGGCTGTATTAATAGGAATATTGTTTGTAAGTCAAGGAAAATGATTCTTCTGCTTTGTTCAGCACTGGTGTGGCCTAAGGTAGAGTTCCATGTCCAGTTTTTAGTACCACACTTCAAGAAAGATATCAATGATTTAGAAAGAGTCCAGCAAAGAGCAACAAAAATAATTGGAGATCTAAGGAATGTGATTTACAAGAAAAGACTGAAGAACTAGGATTATTTAGACTGGAGAAGAGAACAGCATGTGGGAGTTGGGTAACAGTCTTCAAATACCTGAAATATGATTATAAAGGGGTTGGTGACCACCTAGTCTCTGTGGCTGCAGAAGACAGAACAAGGAATAATGATTTTAAATTGCAGCAAGAGTGGTTAAGCAAATTACTTAGAGAGCTTTTGGAACCTTCATCCTTGGAAGTTTTCAAGAGCAAGTTAGAAAAACACTTTTCTAAGATGGTTGAGAGAGGGATGATTCTGCACTGAGCAGAGGACTGGATGCTCCTCCTGAGGTCCTTTCCAACCCTATACTTCTATGATTATTTTCTTTTTTTCTTATTTTTCGTTTATGTAGAGTTTTGTACAGATGGCATTCATTTTATGTAAGACATGAGATGGAAGCAGTTTCCATCAGGGATGAATTTGGCACTTACACTGCACATTTAGCACTAGGTTCTAGCATCTTCATCACACAAAACTGACCAGAATCCCATTTTGGAGTTTAGTTACAGCTTTGTAGCACTCTGTACGGTGGTAGCAGTGCATCAAGAACAGAAATAAACAATTTTCATTTGTAGTTTTATTCTCCAACCATCTGTGTTCCTGCATTTGTATTAGTGTAATACATATTGGTGTCTTAATGAACATTCAGAAATTACCAGGTCTTGATTTGCACTAATGAAAATAAAAGATCGGTAGTCCACTATTGATCTTTGTAATAGGTCCCTTACCCCATTACTAAGAGATGGAAGACCAGAGTGGGGTCTAGTACCTCAATGAGGGTCCCATGGGGGATATAATCCAGATTTTATACTGCAGAAGGACTGTTGCCAGGTCCAGTGGTTGGGGAGAAGTGACAGTCAACCTCCAGAATGTGAGCTCATGGACCCAAGAGGTAAGGCAGTCTAGAAACTCTGACAGGAAGGAGCCACTGTCAAGGACTGCATAAAAGATAAGTGGCAGAAGCTGCATATTTTGGTTTATTTGTGGACTGGCTTAAGTACTGCAAGGCTGAAGGGGAGGGATGGAGGCTACTGAAGATGTCCCACAGAGGACTTAGAACTTTTTTTGAGTTGATGGGCTGCCAGAGGCCGAGTGAAATAGGAGTGGGCTGTCAGAGCCCCAGTGAATAGTGACTGAGCTACTACAGCCCTGAGAGCTGGTATAGAGAGCATGGGACCCGCAAGAGCCAGTACAGAGGGTGTGAGAACCAGGGAGATGGTGCAGAAGGCATGAAAGCTCTGAGAGACTGAACAGGGATCAAGAAAGAGCCCATGGACTGAGCAGAGGAGAGACAGAGCCCAATTAATAGGGTAGAGGAGAGTAGGACACTCAAACCCACACTCCAGTTAGTCTCCCAAATGTTCCTAATAACATTAAAATTGTTGCAGGTGAGTGTCAGAGAGGGAACTGATGGGTGGTGAGAGGTGTTTAAACAGGCCTCAGAGGTCCACTAGAGGTCACCAAGTGGCTTTAGGGAAACTGAAGCCTTTGTTACAATTTTCTAGGCTATCCAGTTCTCAATTCCTCTACTTTATTAAAAATAAAAGAAGTAAATCACATCTCAGTCATAAATATAATATTAAATAGATTCATAGATTCATAGATTATAGAGTTGGAAGGGACCCAATGGATCATCGTGGCTGACCCCCTGCCCTTGGCAGGAAAAAGGGCCGAGGTCAGACGACCCTGGCCAGGTGACTGTCAAGCCTCCTTTTGAAGACCTTCAAGTTAGGTGACAGCACTACCTCTCTTGGAAGCCCATTCCAGACTCTGGCCACCTTTATTGTAAAAAATTTCTTCCTAATGTCTAACCTAAATCTACTCTTCACTAGTTTGCACCCAATATTCCTAGTTTCTCCCTGGGGCGCTCTGGTAAACAGTGCATCCTCAATTCCCTGCTGTCATCCCCTGATAAATTTATAGGCAGCTACAAGGTCACCCCTCAGCCATCTTTTGTATAGGCTGAAGAGATCCAGATCTCTCAACCTCTCCTTGTAGGGTCTTTCATGGAGACCACTAATCATGCAAGTGGCCCTCCTCTGAACCCCCTCCAGATCAGCTGTGTCCCTCTTGAAGTGCAGTGCCCAAAACTGGACACAGTACTCCAACTGCGGCCTGACTAATGCTGCATAGAGGGGGAGCATCACCTCCTTCAATCTGTTGGTCATGCATTTGCTAATACATGACAAGGTCTGATTGGCTTTGTTGATGGCCTCGTTACATTGCTGGCTCATGTTCATATTGGAGCCAACAATGACTCTAAGATCTCTCTCAGCCGCTGAGCTGCTGAGGAGGACATCCCCCAACCTGTAGGTGTGCTGGGGGTTCCTCCTTCCTAGGTGGAGTACCTTACATTGATCTTTGTTGAATTGCATCCTATTACATTCTGCCCATTGATCTAACCTGTGCAGGTCGGCCTGTAACTGCTCCCTCCCCTCTGGTGTATTAATTTTTAAATACATAGGGGGCAAAAAGAAGGTTCTGGGTAATGTGGGGCCCCTGCAGGACACGTTAGGAAATTTGGTCGTCACACTAGATGACAAAACCAACATATTTAATGATTTCTTTGCCTCCGTTTTCCTAAGCAGGGACCAGAACAGTCACACCCCCGGTGGGCCCCCTTAGATCCCAGGGGAGGCGCACCTAGGCCAAGGGTTAGTGAGGAGCTAGTTAGGGAACTTCTGGAAGGACTGGA